CTGGAAGTCCTGTGCAGCCAAGAACCAAGCTACGGATTGAAACCATAGCTCAGTTCTCGGCTGCACAGGCCTTCCGGAAAGGCCCCTGACTGCAAAATGGAGGCCGAGCTCCATTCTCAGCTGCAGAATGAAGCTGCTCCTTTGGCCCCAGAAGAAATGGGCAAGCCAGGCAAGTGTCAATCCATGGGAGGTCTGGCTATAATGGCAAGCTCCATCCCCGCCCTAGCTTGATTTTTAGGGCCTATTTTTGGGGTAGGGCTTATATTAGGCCCACCCCCCCAAATTCAAGCTAGGCTAGGGCTTATTTTCAGGGAAACACGGTAGCTGTTGCCAAGGGTGGAAAAATGTATAATCATCTTTCATTTAATTACAGCAGTCCCCAAATGGATATCCAGTAAAATAAGCTCAATTACAAGCAATCCTTAGTCTTAAGAGCAATTAGAAAACTAGAACTTTGCACTGGAAAGTTTGAGGTTTGGACTTTGGGTATCTCCATTTATTAAAAGTCCGTTTTTCTCATTGATAATACCACAAAGGCTTTAAATTGACTGTAAATCTAGCAAGATTATCCAAAAGTCAGCCTTGTTATTTTTAATAAAGTTTACTCTTGGGTTAAGTATATATAAAACTGAAGGCTAAATAATGAGTTTTATCATCAATGCAGTTTTATGAGGTATAATATATGCAGTTAATTTGGGGAATAAACTATGTCATTTCCCAGGCACCCTCTAGCAACTTACAAACTATATCACTAAATATCATAATGTGTAGATACACAGATTTGTAACCTCTGGTCTAATCTTAATAATCCAAACAAGTGAAACTGTTCCAAATAAATGTGATAAAACTGGTGCCAGAATGTGTGAAGCATTTAAGCTGGTCAATACAAAATTTTAATATGGTTTGTATTATTTCTACTCTAATCAAAATACTGTTAACCTATTATGAATTTCATTGCTTTCTGCCCGAACTATCTCAAAAGGCAGTGGTGAAAGTTCTGCACATCAGAATTGTTTCAAAGAGCATGTGCAGGACATCAGTCTGTTTCCCTCAAACTCAAGATGCATCTGGGACTATACAGAGATGTATTATTTGATGTTATATATACAGTGATGCCTATCTTCACCTGACAATTTCAGCATCCATTAACTGTACAGTATAGGTGGTACCTTGCTCAATAGTAGTAACTGTGAGAGGGATCTCGGAGTCCTAGTAGACAATCACTTAAATATGAGCCAGCTTTTGCAACCTTCTGACAAGCAAAGTGAATGGGATAGCCAGATTCACTAAACTGTGTTACTAACTTAACTGCCAGATTCACTTAACAATTGTGGCAAGATTGCAAAATAGGGCATTTCATTTAACAAATCTGTTGCTTAGCAACATAAATTTTGGGCTCAATTGTGGCCTTAAGTCCAGGATTACTTATTACCTTTATTATGATTCCAAAGGGATGTGTGTGTGTGTGTGTGTGTGTGTGTGTGTGTGTGTGTGTGTATACGTGTATGGCAAGAAGTGTAAAAAAAATGCTACCCAGTTCTAGCAGGATCTTTTACAAGACTCTTCCACTGAGTTTCAGATTCTGGAATAAACAATCCTAATTTTAAGAAGTCAGCCTCCCACAACGTCAAAGCTGACACCAGCTGGAGCATATAAAAACTCAGATCAGTGCCAGATTGGAAGATGTGGAGAGAGACCACGGAATATCCTGGAGTCGGACATGACTGAATGGTTAACATCATCATCACCCTCCCATGAGGTCTGAAATCCTGGATCTCACACTACTGTGTTGCATCTTGTAACTTTTTATGTCCTTTTCCTTTGATCTATTTAGAATAGAATAGAGCTGGAAGGGACCTTCTAGTCCAGCCCCCTGCTCAAGCAGATCCTATACCAGTGATGGCAAACCTTTTAGAGACCGAGTGCCCAAAAAACGCCCCGCCCCCAGCCTGCCCCCCATTCTGCCTGCCCCCCCGCTCCACCCTCATCCTGCCCGTTCTCAGGGCCATCCACGGCCCGCGGCGGATCGCCCAGGTGTCCACGCCCTCTGCCCGCACCCCGCAGCATCATCTGCTGCCCAGCTGCCATGTGTTTGGCTGCGCTGCTCTGCCCAAGCCACACCCAGGGCTCTCCTCGGGGGGGGGCTGCTGATGAGGGGGCTGCAGGGGGAGGCGGGGCTGGGGCGACGGCATGTGTGCCCACAGAGAGGGCTCCGAGTGCCACCTCTGGCACCTGTGTCATAGGTTCGCCACCACTGTTCTATACCATTTCAAATAAATGACTGTCTAGTTTCTTCTTAAAATTCTCCAGTAATGGGGCACCCACGATTTCTGAAAGATAGCTATGATTAATTATCCTCACTGTTAGGAAGTTTCTCCCTTAATTCCAGATTGCTTCTCTCTTTGGTCAGTTTCCAATCATTGTTTCTTGTCCTGCACTCTGGTGCTTTGGAGAATAATTTGACCCCCCCCTTCTTTGTGGCAGCCCCTCAAATACTGGAACACTGCTATCATGTCACCCGTTTCTTCTCTTCATTAAACTAGACATACCCAATTCCAGCAACCGTTCCTTACATGTTTTAGTCTCCAGGTCTTTGATCATCTTAATTGCTTTTCTCTGAACTTTTTCCAAAGTCTCAACATCTTTTTTCTAGTATGGTAACCAAAATTGGTTGCAGTATTCCAGGTGTGGTCTTACTAGGTTTTTATAAAGTGGTACTAATACCTCACGTGATCTTGATTCTATGGCTGTTTATAGAACCCAGATTGTATTAGCTTTTTTGGCTGTTGCTTCACACTGCTGGCTCATATTCAAGTGATCATCCACTAGGTCTCCAAGGTCCCTCTCACAGTTACCATTTTTGAGCCAGGTCTCATCTCATCTGTATTTATACATTTAATTTTTCCTGCCTAAATATAGGCAGGAAAATAACTGTGCTTTTCTCCACAGTAAAATTCATTTTGTTGGATAGGGCCCATTGTTCAAGTTTGTAAAGATCTTTTGGGACCCTGAGCTTGTCTTCTGGACTGTTGGCTATTCCTGCCAGTTTAGTGTCATCTGCAAATTTGATGAGTTCCCCTTCTATTCCTTCATCTAAGTCATTTAGGAAGATATTGAAGAGTACTGGGCCTAAGACGGAGCTTGGTGGTACCCCACTGCTTACTTTTCTCCATGTGGGTATAGTACCATTGAGGAGAGCTCGCTGAGTACGGTTTGTCAGACAGCTACACATCCATCTGGGAGTGATGTTGTCTATTCCACCTTTTCCTGGCTTACCAAGGAGTAGGTTGTGTCTACTAATTTAGTCACTTTATCAAAGAATGAAATAAGATTGGTTTGGCATAATCTGTTTTTAACGAACCCGCAAAACTGCACCTATTCGGTAAAGCAACTGAAGGCTGGACAAGAAGCAACGGATGGAGACTAATCAAGGAAAGAAGCAACCTAGAACTAATGAGAAATTTCCTGACAGTTAGAACAATTAATCAGTGGAACAACCTGCCTCCAGAAGTTCTGGGTGCTCCAGCATGTTTTTAAGAAGAGACTGGACAACCATTTGTCTGAAGTGGTATAGGGTTTCCTGCCTGAGCAGGGGGTTGGACTAGAAGACCTCCAAGGTCCTTCCAACTGTTATTCTGTTACATCTCCCCAGCCAATAAAAAAGCATACCGAGTGATTTTTTCAAGTTAAGTATTTTATTATCAAAATTATTACATCTCTTGTGAAAGTTCAAATATTACAGCACAGTGTACAACTCCACTTGAGGGTAGCGCTGCAGCCCCCGCCCTCCCGACTTCCCGGCTGACTCCTCTCCTTCCCAGCACCCTGAACAGTGCTTCACCTCTGCCTGCTTTTCTCCAGACGGATCCTTGCAACGGAAAGAGCAAGCTCGACATGATGGGAAAAGGGAGGCTGCAAAGGCCCGGTGAAGCTGACACCCTTTTATACAGTATATAGGACACCCGCTTTCTGGGTGACAAGTTCCATTCCCCCAACACGCTCACAGCCAGATACTTTGAGGAAAGATTTCTTGTTTCTTCTTTTCCACTTCTGATATTTTTTTTAAAAAAGTCTCCTCTAAATTGAATGAAGAACACCTGATTTCAATGAGTTAGAGAAACCTGTAACAGCCCTAATTAAAAATGCAAATGAAAAACAAAAAAAAAACAAAAAATAATAATAATAATTTTTGCTTCTGAGAAAGGAAGGGAAGACATGCTCATGGCATCATCTTGTCGAAGAGGGAAGGAAAAGGTCCGTGGCAGCACTTGGGTTAGACCTGCCTGATATTTGCTAACCTACTATGGTTATAACTGAATATAAAATTAGATAAATAAAAACACACGCTTGAAGAGTAAACAAGTGAGAAAAGCTGGCAACTGTATGGAATCGGACAGCGCAACCAGTGGGGCTGGAAGTGCTGTTGGACCTCAAAGAGGTGGTAGCAGGAGCCTCACGTGCGCGCGCGCACACACACACACGCAAGGACACGCCTGACAAGGGCAGCCGTGTCACGACCCAGACGGGGCGCTTCTCTCACCATCATCCACAGACTACACAATCAGACTACACAACAACTTATATCACACAAAGCTGTTCCCTGCAACAAGCTACCCTCTTCACGTGGCAGAACGTTGACGACACTCCATTGTGAAGTACAGCTTGCCCAAGACTTGGTTCTGTGAGTGATGTCGTCATTGCAGCAATATTCACTTGCGCATCCTGTCTTCTCTCTCACACACACGGACTCATACTTGAGCGGACGCACACAGACACACAGAGACAGACATACGTACGTACATACACACACTACCACCAGCCCTATCCCATGAGTCTCTGCCCAGAGCCTGGACACAATAAATGCTCTTGCTTACAACTGGAATGATCAGAATGGACTACACCCCCCCCTCCCCAACCCAGAATGTTCTGGGAACCCAACTCTGCAGAGAGCACTTTGGGATTTTTTTTTTAAAGGAATAGCCCCGCCCACCCACCCCCAATCGCCCTTCCCTAATGTTCTGATTTGCACGGTTTCTTATTCAAGCTTACCTACCTGCCCAGGTGACTACAAACTAAGGGCACAGGCAGGAGACAGAGGCCATGCCACTCAGCACCCATTTGCTTTCTCTACAACGTACCCAGGCATCGTGGCGATGCTTTGCTACAGGCTCTGCCGCCACCACCGCTGCCACTTCCACCGCTGCCGCCGCCACTTTCTCCTCGTTTTCAGGGCCAGGGGGTGGCTGGCAGTGCTTTCGCTCGCTTGTACATCCCGAAGCCTCGGCCTCTGGCCCTTCGCCGTTCCAGCATCCTTCCTTTCAAGCTACTGCTGGAAGGAACAGTAGGCAATTCAGTCCTGCCCTATGAAAGGCCTGTCTGAGTCTTTACGCCTGACCCTGGAAGCTGCTGCAGTCTGTACGGGTGAATGCTGCCTCCTCCCCCTCGGTGGGAGTAGTGCTGCGAGTTGGAAAGTGCTGCGGTGGCGGTGGTGGCTTTGGAGCTCGGGTAGAGAGCGGGTTGCCCGGAAGCGGGAGGGTTGATAGTCCGTAAGTCCGACTGAGGGGGCCTGGAGGAAGAAGTGCAGCTGGCAGTTCCCATGCAGGGATGCGACCCTGATTCAGAGGACGGCAAACAGTCTGCAACTGTCGAATGGGCAGGACTAGGAGCAGCGGTGGTGGGACAGTTCTTCTTCAAGACTCCGCTGACAGGATGGTGCTGGTTGCTGTAATACCCAGAGGTCCCTGCAAACAGAGCCGTAGAGTCCGTGGAGCCCGACGGGGTGGAGGACATGGAGGATTCCGAAGAGCTGAGGGAGGGAAGGTGTCCGCTTCTCTGGGACTGAGGCCGGTAGCTGTATCCAGGGGATGGAATAGGATGTCCTCGGTACGGTGAGGAGCTCTGAAGAAGAGTCTGAGATTCTGTACGTGGACTGTCAGACTGCAAGAGCTGGGAGGGAAAAAAACCCCAAAACACAGTAACATTATATTCAGCTGTAGCTTGCCCACCTCCACAAGCCTCTTAAGAAAGTCTGGATCAGGGAACTCCAAACCTTTTGAACCAGAACATAGGCCTGGAATCCAGCATCGTGACCTGGATGCGCCTACAAAATGGCTGCAAGAGGTGGAGATGGGACAGTCACCAAACGTTCTTTGGAATGGAGCAGAAAGGAAACGGGTAAAGCTGTTGCCCACCATCCTCCTCTAGCTCCCCAGGATGCGTCCCCCAACCTCCCATTTACATGTTAGTTCTCAATATGGGGGGGGAAGGTGTTTCCAAAGAGCCATTTGTTACAGGCAGTCCTCTACTTACAACCACAATTGAGCCCAACGTTTCTGTTCTTAAGTTGAGTTTTGCTCCATTTTATGACTTCTCTTGCTCCATTTTATGACTTCTCTCTCTTGATGGCGAACCTTTTAGACACCTCCTGCCCAAAACCACTCCGCCCCCTGCCCCGCCCACCCCACCTCCTGCCCAACCCATTCTGCCCTGCCCACCGCAGGACCACTTACCGCCTCCACGGCCTGCCAAGATCGCCCAGGCAGCCCTACAGCACCATGGCGGCCATGCAGCAGATGCTGCTGTGGGGGCGGAGTCTTGTACCTGCTGCCCGGCTGCCATGTCCTTGGCTGCACGTCTCTGCACGGGCCACAACCGGGGGCGACTGTCCTCTGGGGGGGGGGATGCTGGTGAGGAGGGGGCTGGGGCGACGGCGCGCGTGCCCACAGAGAGGGCTCTGAGTGCCGTCTCTAGCACGCGTGCCATAGGTTCGCCACCACTGGGCTAAGGGAATCACTGCAGTTGATAACTTAGTAACCCGGTTGTTAAGTGAATCTGGCTTCCCCATGGACTTTGCTTATCAGAAGGTTGCAAAAGGGGATCACGTGACCTTGGGAATACAGCAACGGACGTTAAGCGAACCTGTTGCCAAACATCTGAATTTTGATCACGTGATCCTGGGGATGCTGCAAAGGTTGTAACTGTGGGAAAGGGTCGTAAGCCCCCCTTTTTTCTCTACCGCTGTAATTTTGAACTGTCACTAAATGAACTGTTGTAAGCCGAGGACTACCTGTATTGGTATTTTCTAAAACGAGGGCATTTAAAAGATTGGGAAAGGCTGGGTACCTTGTGGAAAACTTAGAAGAGTGATGAATTGCTACGGATAGAGACTTTAATACCCAAACTTGCTACTGCTTCTCCTACCTGGTAGCTGTATCGAGAAGGACTGTAAACAGCTGGGCCCTTGAAGGAAGAACTGACCGATTCTGATACGTCTCCTTCTACAGCATCTAGGAAACCAACCAGAGAGATAAGTATAAAGAAGGCATATTCTTTCCTGGATCAGGCAATTAAGTGACAAGAGTCACTTCCCTGAGACAGGCATCTGTAGAGAATGAATGAATGAATGAATGAATGAATGAACGGACATTCATTCACTCATCTTGTATGCCACTGCAATCATTCAGATTCTTGGCAATTTACAGCAAAGAAATATATAACAATGCAGTGAAAAGATTTGTAGTAAGAAAGGCTGCCTAAATTAGAACAAATTAATAAAATATCAAAGCAAATATCCGATGGTGTTTTTTTAAAATAGAAATAAGGTGAGAAAGCTAATTCCTGAGAGGAAATGTAACCTCAAGAAACTTAAAGCCTGAGCAAGGTATTGGAGGCAGAGGGGTACTAGAGAATATTTGGATGTCATGAGAACAGTGAGATACAGGAATGGGAAGGCACACCACAACATAGTTAATTGTCCTTCCTTTGGCCCACTTTGTCATGTCAACAGGAAGAAAGGGAATAACTACTGGAACAGTAATAGCTCCAGAGCAGGGGTACCAAACTGCCGGCCCACAGGCCGGACGTGTCAGACGGAAGCTGCCCCCACCCCATTGCCAGCAATAGCAAAACTGTTCCGATACGTTGCGCGACATCACGTGACGTCGTGAGTTTGACATGTCTGCTCTAGAGCAGTTCACAGCAATGAAAACAAGCTGCTTTATAAATTCTACCCTGCACCTCATTTTATGTTTCTCTTCCCATGACCATACTATGGGGTGGAACACGGGGGAAAAAAATACACCCTTCATTCAAAACGATGCCAACGTTGATTTGATTAGGATTTTTTGAACAATCTTTTATAACTAGGATGTCTAAGATGGCTGCTCCTTATTTAAGTAGGACAACTGTGACTGTGACCTGCTACTGTATGGGATCAAGTGGCTACTTCTTGTCAGCCATGTGGTGTTCTTATGATTCCTTTATATTTATAACAATGGGAAAAAAAGTCTTTTTTGCCAAATCAAAAGATGATTTTGCAGACCGTATATTCCAGGAAAGCCTTCCTTTTTTTGCAGAAAATTCAGACCTAGAGATGACTGTTAACAGACAGCTGCGTAGTATCTTTAGAAACCCGCCTGCTTCAAGTGGGTTGGATATTTCATGGGGAAGTGGCTCCACAGAGAAGAATGACGCCACAAGGAGAGTCCTAACGTATTTTTCGGCTTTCCAAGGAGATTCATTCTCAGGGCTCCTTTCTGATATATTATTCTCTCACTTACCTACTTCTCTCTCTCCTACGCTGTCTCGAGAAGGCGAGGGTTCTCCTCGCGGACATATTTTAGCACTGCTACGTAAAACCTTCTCCAAAATGCCACGTCCTTCTCGAAGTCGCTCAACAGAAGTGGGCACCATCCTTTAACACGAGACAGAGAGAGAACATGAAAAAAAAAAAAGAGTGAATATGGGAATTTCACGTTTTGGGGCAAATAAACTGTTACTTGGTTTTCATAAATGCACAAACGGTAATTTTAAGGCTTATAAATACAATAAATTTCATGTTATTTATTGAAAACATTCGTTTCTAGGGTGGGATCAGGTCCCTATACATACTCGCACATGCAGTTGATGCCATGTTGTTGGCTGAAGACCCAGACGACTTGCAATAAATATTAGACCTACTGCAAAATGCAGTGTGGACTATGGGATCTCAAAACCAATGCACTCCAGGAGAATGGAGGGAGGGAAGGGGAGCTTGAGAAAGTCATATTGGATGAAATGGGCAAGATTCCCAAAAAAGAGAGGCAAAACTTTTAAACAACAAAAGGCCATGTGTGAAGCACTATATGGGTCTGATGGAATCAAGGATGCCTTTGCAAGGAGAGAATGGCATGAAAAGGTACAGTGGTCTGGTGAGAAGCCAAATTGATTATGTGCTATCAAGTCATTTTTGACTGATTCCTATCAACTATGTAGATTTTCCTCCATGACAATCCATCCCTAACTTGTAATTTCAAGTATTGCAAAAGTGCATTAATTGCTACCGTAACTGAATCCATCCATCTTCCTGCTGATTATCCCCTTCTTTCCTTTCCTTTCCTTCTATCTTTCCCAGCATTTCTGGGAGATTATGAGCTCTAATCCCTCTTTAGGTATGAAAGCTGGCTGGGTGATTTTGGGCTACTCTCCCAGCCCAACACACCTCACAGGTTGTTGTGGGGAAAATAGTAGGAAGGAGGAGTATTGTATTTGACACCTTTATAGAAATAATAAAGGCAGGATAAGAATAAATAAATAAATCACAACTTTTTGCAGAGAGTTGGGTCTTTATATAAAGTGCCCAAAGTGGGATAATTGAGTCAGGCCATTTGTGTTTCCAATAAGAACTCTCTGTTGACTTGTCTGATAATAAATATGTTTTCTTGGTTGTCCACAGTATCCCCTGGAGTCTTCAAAGGTGTCAATACACAACTTTTGCTTCCATTTAGAGTGTCATAGGGAATATATAGTGTTCTTGTGCAATTCTAATCTTTGTAGAAAGAGAGGCAACATGGCATTTGAGTATCTTTTCCAAGGCCTTCGCTGTTGCTCTACCAAATGTTATTCTGTGTAACGCTTCCTCCTTTACTGCTTCTTCCTTTTTACTGTTGACGGTTGAGCCTAAAAGGCAGAAGGCATCCACCACTTGGATTGGATCTTCATTGTTAGCTTTAATCTGGCTATTCTATCTCCTGTCATTAGTCATTTAGTCTTTTTTATATTTAATTTTATTTCTATTTTTTTTCTCTATGCTCTTTGACTGTCAGTATTAGGGTTTGCAGATTTTATTTATTTATTTATTTTGGCTATCAGGATAGTGCAATTTCTTCCTCCAGTTTTAAAATCACACCCATCTTCTTCTCAAAAGCTAAATATGGGGAGTCGTCACTTACTGATCATTAATTCAGAAACCGTTCAGTCAAAACAGCGGAGAACAAGGAGACTTAGGACCGGTGGTTGAAGTTGCAATCATTGCAGCAATCCTGTGTTCACGTGACTTGTGATTCGGGGGCTTGGCAACCTGTACACATTTACCACAGTCACAGCATCCTGTGGGGACCACACAATCGCCATTTTGTGACTTTTACAGCTGGCTTTTCAACCGGGGAAGCCAATGCAGAAGCCGGCATAAAGTTGCACGTTCTGGCCATGCGACATTATGTTTTATGACCCACTTAATGGCTGCAGCTGGAACTGACATAAGCTGGGCATGGCCACGTGACTTTTCACTTTATGACTGTGTCACTGAGTGATGGAATTGCCAGTCCCAATTACAATCAGCAAGTGAGAACTATTTTTCTTCCGTCGTGGCCCAGGGTCTTCAATTTCTTATTTATTACTCCCTTTCTACGCTTTGCACAATGTTGCTTAACCCGATGGGTATGTGGGTACCTCGTAATCAATTCTCAGAACCAAGCTCTCAAGCCAGGCTTGTCCTCAGAGAGGCAGATCACGGGGGAAGATATTCTGCCTAGCCCTTTCACTGCTATTTGTGTTTTCTTGTTTAGAGAGGCTGTAAAGGCCAGTTCCCAGGCACAGAGATCTCACACCCACCATTTGTGCTCAATAGGTCACTCTGGTTCCATAGGGTAAACTCCTCTTGTGAGGGAAGAGGGGCAGGAAGACTGATTCTTGCCGGGAACCCCTTCGGTTGCATGCCTGCTGTAGGATTTCCACAGAATGACGTATTGGCTACTGGAAAGCCAATCTGCCCTTGTGCTGCCTGTAAGAAAAGCTGAGCACTGAGGGATTCTTCCTCAGACTAAGATAATACAATGTTAGCAGTCCTAGAGGTAATCACTTGGCCAATAACGTCAGCTACGCTGGGCAAGATTATCCTGCTGCATCGAACTGAGGGGTTTTTAGATAGAGGATGGGAATTACACACGTTTCCTTCTAAAGACTGGGTAAAAACAAGCACTCGCTTACCACCGACTGCTGATGCTGTCATGCGGTTTGCAGTGACCAGTTGCTCTTGGCTCCGGGGGGCTCACTTCCTCCAGGTGAGTCAGGGAGGAGTGTGAGGGGGAGAAGCCATGTTGTGGAGACGATAGGGTGTGACCCCCGGAGCCTGGCACAGCACCAACGTCCACATCTGCCCCAGAGCTGCTGCTGCTGCTGCTACTTAGTCGATTAGCTGTCACTGTGCATCTGGCAGAATCCCCTCCCTCCTTGGCCTCTTGCTTTCGTTTGCGGTACTCCAGCAGAGATACCTAGGAGGGAAAAACTATTATCAGTCTAGCTGACGCCAAGTTTGAGCAAGTTAAGGTTAAATCAGGTTATGGTGACTGTTTTGACTGCAAATCACTACAAATGCCATAGAACTAGATTTGGAATTAGCCTAGCAACTGAGCTTTGTTCAAATTTCAGATTAGGCTCACTTAATAAAAAAAAAAAAAAACCCATTTCCTAGGATGACAGGAAACCCACAAGCAAAAGCACAGCAGAAAATGAACGACGTGCATCCTACAAATACCTCTCCCGAAATGAATGATTTATCTACGCTATTCATAAATTTCTCAGCTACCGTTTTTTATCAGAATGTTTATGCGCTCATTCTTCTTTCAGAATCTTCCGTGAGGTAATTTTACAAGCCCCAGTTCACCCTTTTATGCTACTTCCCTTGCTCTCCTCCTTCAGGGAGTGATCATTTCTGCTTTACCCTCTCCTTTTCCTTCCCCTTATTTTTTTTTCCTCCCCCCACACACACTCACCTTTTTTCTCTGTGGAGGGTTCTGGGGGGCAACTTTGACTCCTTCACAAGTTCTCTCACCACAATGGGCCGCTGGGCCATGTACTGCCTCTTTAAGAATGGCCTGCTCGTGTCTGCCAAAGTATCCCTCTGCAGGAGAACTGCAGCTGCCCGTATCTGGATTCAGAAGCTTCCCATCGGCCATCTGGGGAGACTCTCTTAATAATCCATCGGCCCGGGGCATCGCGTTCAAAGGGGAAAAGGCATACATTAGGTTAAACTCTGTCCGAAAAGCTTGGTCAGAGTTTCTGAGCAGAGTCTGGGACTCCCCGCTCTTTCCCAGGAAGCTGGTATCGGAGGGCTGGGACGCTGGATCAGAATGCCCCGTGGCAAGTAACGAAGGTCTCTCTAGGCAGTTGTGAGCATCGGCGTCCAGGTATCCTGCCTTTGGTGTGTCCAGGTCTGTCCTGAGGCAGAGCTAGAATAGCCAACGGGGGGGGGGGGCATGGGAGGACAGGGAAGAAAAGGGTATCAAATAGGGGAGAGAACCGGGGAGAAGGGGCACAAAAAGAGAGAAAAAGAAACAAGAGAGAAAATGAAATAGTTGCCCTTTTGGCAAAACAGCACACATTACTTTCCCACTACTTGCTCCCTTAACCTGCTGCAGTCTTTCTGCTTTTTTATCTGTTCTTCTACCTGCACAGTCCATTTTTTGTCCCCCTCTAGGCAGCAGATTCTGCACATTCTCAGGGTCCCTCCCAATCTGGGTTGGAAATATTAATGCCCCCAAAATGGCCTTGGTGGTTTTTTTTTTTTTTTTTTTTAGCAAGGTCACCCATTTCACATATAACATCACAACCATTTCAATAAAAGGGGAAGAATCAACACAAATTTCAAGGCAAGCAACTGTGCCACGCACCGGATGTTCTGATCAACCGGCTACTTTACGGTACAATTATTACAACCACGCAGCACGAGCACACTTTTTTCCTCACACCACATCATTCAGAAATCTCAACACAGAGACTGACAAGAGTAGATGGTAGAGTACAAGAAGCAACCACTAGATGATGGAATCCTGGGTGGTTCTCTACATAAAATGTGTTAGCGGTCATAATGAGAAGATTCCTTTATAGGAATTTTTCCCGAATATTGGTAGAATTGTTTTAAAGACAAGCAAGAGATAAGATGTGATGTGTTCTAATCAAAAGAGATGATTCTTTTGCAATCTGTACTTCTCCCCCCTTTTCCATTGCTTTCAAGCCCCATCTTGATCCAAAACTATTATAAAAGGTCTCTAGTTACCTCAGAAGAATTAAGATCTCTGGGCCTCTAATCTCTCAACCTTGGCAATTTTAAGACTTGTGGACTTCAGCTCCCAGGATTCCTCAGCCAAAATGGCTGGCTAGGGAATTTTGGAAGTTGAAGTACACACAGCTTAAAGTGGCCAAGACTGAGAAACACTGTTACAGACAGACTGTTCATTTTACTGTTTAAAATTTTTTTTAAAAAAATCTTTGAATTAATCTCTCCAGTCTAAAGCCATGCACAGATAGTGTACATTATCATTATCTCTAACCCATTTAGTCTCAAGAACAGCAGGCAGTGGAAAGCTGCTGTTGCCTGCTGGAAGTGTGTTGCCTATCACATGTATACTACTACATATCTTCTAGAGCAGGGGCGTCGAACTCGCAACGTCACATGACGCGACGTATCGTGACTTTTTTTCCATTGCCGGCAATGGGATGAGCGCCATTTTGGCATGATGCATCTGGCCCATAGGCTGGCAGTTTGACACCTCTGTTCTAGAGGTATATGCCATTTAACAGAATCTGTCTCTAGCTTTTTTTTTCCCTGCCATTTTGCAAAAGTTTTCATAGAGCATTTTCACCCCAATGCTTTGTTTGCAGGCTACCAACTTCAATTGCTGGTCTTCACTCAGCTAAAAGCGTCTCCCTTGAGGAAGGCTGAGGTTCTTTATGCAACTCAGCCTGCTTGCATTATATGTCACAGTTGAAGAGGTGGGGAAATGAGAATCACCCAGAAATGGCATTTTACTAAGCATGGTTCGGCATTAACAGGCTTCTATTAGTTATGGGTAGCCATCTTGGTTTGAAATAAGGGTAGACAAACATAAAGACCACATAGGGTATCCGGATGGGTTACAAAAACGAGAACACCATACAACAACAACAAAAAAAAAATTCAGTGTTTAGAATACAGGCACAGTGAACTGCAATCTTAAACAGCTTATTTTTAAGCAGAAACATTTAAGGCTAACCCCTCTGAGACTTTCCTAGTCTGCTGGCCAGCTCAGGCTTCTTAGTGGTAGAAACTTAGCTGGTGGTCACCAGGTTACAGAAGGCAGCCTTGAAAACTTGATAAACCCAATCACTGTCTTAAGCCTCTGACAATAGAAAGGCCATTTTTATCTTTATACCACATTTATGGCTGAATGACACAGTTTAATACTAGACAGTGAGGTAGAGCATCAGCATGCAGGTTGATAAGAACCTACACTATAATACCCGCTGCATCTGCAATAGCTAATCAAACCAATTATCCCTCCAAATTCTATGATGTTTTATCTCAGATCCCTCAAAATCTAAGGAAGGCTTCCTTTGTGTTCACTGACTGGCATTATTAAGCCTGAATTCAGAATTTGTATTTTGAAGAATTTGGACCTGGGGGGTAGAGCAGATGCAGAATAATCTTATGTTGTAATGAAACAAGGAGAATAAGCAGGGGCATTTGATCTTATGCTGTTTTAGTTCAGTTTTTCTCTCAGCTTCAGATGGATGGACTAGATACAGGGGTAAGCAACCTTGGCTCTTTTATGACTCGTGGACTTCAACTCCCAGAATTCCTGAGCCCGCCAAACTGAGGGGAAAGGGAGAGGTTTCCAAGCTGAGCCATGCTGGCTCAGGAATTCTGGGAGTTGAAATCCATGAGTCATAAAAGAGCCAAAGTTGCCTACCCCTGGACTAGAACATGTTACATTTCCCTGTTTTCTACCCAACTAGAACTACAAAGGAAGCTGACTAGAGTCCCTTCCTCCCCATTGACTTCCTTCTTCTCCTGCTGCTTCCCCCACCCCACCCCTCCTCCCCCTCAAGAACACACATTTGCTCAACACACAAACCAAGTGCACACACTCTCCCGCCTCCAATTGAGATGGTGTGATAACTACCTCGGGCGACAGGGACTCGGGCCTATGCGCAGGGGTACTCTCAGGGGAGGATACGTTCTAGGAGGGAAAAGCATCTTGTTATTCATCTAATTTTACAAGTCAAGAGGCAAAATAAAATAAAGTGAAAAAACAAAACAAAACAACAACCTCCAAGCTCAGAGGTTAGCCACAGCTATTCTGGAGCAAAACAAAACCAAAAAGAAAAATAAACTCTTCTGGGGAAGTCCTCAGGAGTTGTGGGGGGACGGGACTACAAACATTACACAGACTTTAGGAGAAGAGTTATCGTATCTCATGCTACAATGTCAGGCCCAAATCAAAGAAATCAGGATGCAGTCTTTTTTTTTTTTTTTTTTAATCTTATGTCTAGACCTCAGAAAGTCAGCCTCAACTAGCATAGGACCTTCTTGAATGACAAAACCCCAAACAAGCCCCTACTAATACACAGTCAAGTCAGAACTGACTTTACGTAGCCTTGCTGCCAGGGAGAGCTGAGGGAGGGACTGAGTGTAGGAGCTTGCTGGACTGAGCCAAAGGGATTGAGCCAGAGTGCTCCCAAAGAGGCCAAGAGGAAGCTTAGAAAGCAGGACATGGAAATGTTAACTTCTGGGTCTTGGGAACTCAGAAACCGGCACTCAGAGACAAACCTCCTGACACTGAAGGCAATGTGGAGCATTCGTGAATGAGTGAAGTATCATGCAGGAAAGGCTGTTTCTCCAACGGGCAACCCCAGTGGGCATGAAGTTAGCTTGCTTACTTCACGGTGAGAAGATGGATATGACATGTAAGAAAGGTTTCCGGGGGCACGCTATTACATTAAAACTTCCTTAATGTAAGCATCAAATTATTTAGATATATACAAGGGCTGGGGGTATTCTTTCCATCCTGTGTTGTAGGCTGTGGGGGATCAGGCTACCCTCAAACTCTGCTGCCAATCATGAAAATCAGGGAAGTGTTGTGGATTGAGTGCTGGATCAGGAGTGGGGAAAATGCGAATTTATATTCATACTGAACCATAATCTTCACTTTATGACTCCATGTGAGTCGTCATCTTATGACCTAACCCAGTGTTTCCCAAACTTGACAATTTTAAGGCATGAGGACTTCAACTCCCAGAATTCCACAGCCAGCAACGCTGGCTGTGGAATTCTGGGAGTTGAAGTCCACATGCCTTAAAATTGTCAAGTTTGGGAAACACTGACCTAACCTATCTTGTAGGCCTCGGGGGATATTAAAATTGAAAGCCGGAACACAGGTAGTCCTCAACTTACAATAGTTTGCTTAGTGACCATTTGAAGTTAAAACGGCACTGAAAAAAAACGACTTATAACTATTTTTCACATTTACGACCGTTGCAACATCCCCACAATCATGTGATTTACATTTGGATGCTTGACAAGTGACTCACATTTGTGACTGTTACAGTCTCCCGGGGTTATGTTATTACCTTTTGCAACCTTCTGAGAAGCAAAATCAATGGGGAAACCAGATTCACTTAACAACCGTGTTACTAATTTAACAACTGCTGTGATCCACTTAACAAATGTGGCAAGGAAAGATGTATAAAATGGGGCAAAACCCGCTTAACAAATTTCTCACTTAGCAACATAAATTTTGGGCTCAACTGTGGTCATACGTTGAGGACTACCTGTACTATGTATGTTGACTTGAACTTCTATAGGAAAGGCAGAAAAAGTACTAATAAAAAATATAATCAGAGGATAAAAGAGCAAAAAAGTATGCTCTATAACCTCTTAATTACATTACAAGGGATAAGTTTCCACTTTCTTTACTTCAAGTATATCCCAAATGTTCTGTTCCTAGAGTAATTTAATTCAATTCATTATGTTAGAAAAGAAATTTCACACTGCAGGTTTACAACAACTGATTACTCCGAGCATAATTTCCAGAATTATACAAATGATATACACATGACATACAGGAAGATTTGCTTAAAATGACCTCACACTGCTCCAGGGTACTTTGGAAGTATTTCACAACTGGGTATAATAAGGGATCAGCAAAAATTTAACTAGTAGCACCAGTTCAGATGACTAAGAGTCTTAACTATGGCACTGTCTTAATACGCAATATATTTTCTTCAACAGTAGTATGTGTACAATTAAATGTGACACTAGCTGTTAAACTAGTTTGTTTCCTCAAACTATATTAGCTGATTTTTGTGGAGTCACTGCGTTTTGTGCTTGTTGTGTATATTTGATTTATTTGGCTTGGTTAATAGCCAAATTTGGCTTGGTTTGAATTTGTTTAATGTGCCGATGTTTAGGGATACGCTAATAATGTTTTACTCAGTGTTTATTTTAATTTACCTTCATACATATTTGCTTTAATTGGACCTATGAATTTATAAACTTGTGTGCTGCCTATATTTCCAGACAGAATTTTAGAGACCTGATGTTTAACAACAGTCTTGAAAAGGCAACAGAGAACAGCTTACATAAAATAAAATGCCATAATGAGCAGAATAACAAAGCCTCAGTACAGAAAATGTAGAAGGGGGAAATCTTTCTTAAAAAATACAGGATGGGAGGACAAAAGACTCATATACAGAAAAAGCAGTAGTTTTGCTTCTGCCAAAGATGAAAAGCTTTGTGAACTGACTAAGACTGATTCTGACAACTTTTCCTCCGCTGCCAACTTCAAATTAGCAGCGCTTCAAATTGGGAGCACAAACTGCCTCAAAATGCAATTTCCTACCATCTTCTCATAGCAGTATCTGTAATACTGGTTGGGTTACGAGGCCTCAGTGAAGTGTGATACTGTCTATGGAGCTACAATTAACAGCATATTTATTTTAAAAAATGAAACAAATACGCTTATACTGTAACTCTTAAACTCTTCTTTTTAAAAGAAACAGTTCTTGAGGATTTCTTGGGAGTAGTTTTGTGGCTTTCTCACATATGAACATAGATTTGAGAGTATCTGAAAAATACAAAATGCGAGAAGGCAGAGGTTGAACAAGAAATGGGAGCCCTGCCGTCTTCTGGGCAACAGTAAGAGAATATACCATGAAGAACTAGTTAAAACTGCCAGTTCTGAAAAACCAATGAAGGAAAATTGGTTTGTAGCTTAGGGTTGACATGAGGGGTCCTTGGTGCTCTCTGAGCTTGCTAGTTTTCTTGCAGATGTTTCATTATCCAAACTAGGTAACGTCATTGGTGCAACAATGTCATAGCTAGTTTGGGTAATGAAACATCTGCAAGAAAACATGCAAGCTTATAGAGCACCAAGGACCCCTCACTTCTGAAAAAACAAGGCTTCTGTTGTAATTTAAAGACAACAAAAATTAGATTATGAAGTCATGTATCTGCTCATCCTAACAGTGAGCAGCTGAAGCTGGATCATAAGATATGCTAACATATGTAAGAAACAAGGGTCAAAACATCTGAATCCTCAATGGTGACTGATTCAGCAATCAGGAGAATATTGTTTCCATCAAGTTCTATTAAAAGGAGTGGCAGATGCAAGGATAGCCACATCTTCCAATACTGAAATTTCAAATCCACCTCACACAACAGATGGGACATAATCATGGGACACTTGATAATAAACACATCGACTCTAGGCTGTTCTGTAAGAAACCTACAAAACGACACCTTCACATCTGTCTTAAAATCTAAATGTTTGCAAAAAGGTTTGAAAAACAAGAGGCAAATATGAAGAGAAGGATAATCTGATGCAGATGGCAAAACATGGGCTCCGTTGTTGATTTATTAGGCAATGCATGTGGGGGGATAAGGATTCTGTGAACTTGGCAATATAAGTACCAACAAAGTGGGGAGGGGAAGAGAGTTCAAGCAGTGATTAAAAGGATATGAGAGGGAGGACTAATACCAGTGACTCTAATATACATAGCAATAAGGGAACAGATAATTCACCCTATTAGTACAGGTAGTCCTTGACTTATAACCATTCGTTTAGTAACTGAATAGTTTCAACAGCACTAAAAAAAAAAAGTGACTTATGACCCTGTAGTCACGTGACCAAAATTCAACTGCTTGGCAACTGGCATACATTGATGACGGCTGCAGTGTCCCAGAATCATGTGATCAGCTTTTGCACCCTTCTGACAAGCAGAGTCAATGGGGGAGCTAGATTCATGATAGTAATAATGATAAAGTTGGAAGGGACCTTGGAGGTCATCTAGTCCAACCCCCTGCTCAGGCAGGAAACCCTATACCATTTCGGACAAACGGCTGTCCAATCTCTTCTTAAAAACTTCCAGTGTTGGAGCATTCACCGCTTCTGGAGGCAGGTGGCTCCACTGGCTAATTGTTCTCGCTGTCAGGAAGTTTCTCCTTAGCTCTAGGTTTATTTAACAACCACGCTACTAACTTAACAACTGCAGTGATTCGCTTAACAAATATGGCAAGAAAGGCCGAAAAGCGAGGCAACTCTCACTTAGCAACAGAAATTCTGGGCTCGGTTGTGGCCGTAATTCGAGGGCTGCCTGTATCTAATGCAACTCTTAACGGTTCTCTTAAAATCTCATCCATACACCCCTTGTAATTAACTGGTTTTCTTCCAAGCAATTTTGATGCACGTCTCCCTAGGTTTTGCAAGCAGAATTGCTCCCCCCCCCACTTTTTAGCTCAGCTTACCTCAAACTGTAGTGGAGTATTGCAGCGACTAGCAGCCAAGGAGGGAATTGGGGAGAAGATCACACCACAGCCACTGCGACTCTCCTCCTCTCCCGGCATCGACGAGGAGGACGTAGTTAGGTGTGGGCTCAGTGAATCTGGAAGCAGGGAGTCAGGAAGCGGAGGAGTGACAGGAGACAGTGGCCTCAATAATTTAGTAACACTCTGTTCCATCAGATAGCGAGACTTCCACTTCTTCAGAGGGCTCAACACATCTGAAATTTTAACATACAACGTAGATGACGTTTTACTATTATAAAGCCCTCGTCCGTGCTCAAAAAGTCAATCCCTCTACATGTACCCAATAACACCTTAAATCTGGCTCCTGCCACATTAACAATCACTCAGAGCTAATGCCAAAGTTGAAACGAGGGACAATATTCTAAAAGGAGGACAATTTCGGGACTCGGTGGATGTTTCAGGAACGAAAAAAGTTATCAACTGAACGCAGTCAAATTCAGGCCTTCGGTAGTTTTTTCAAAAAAAAAACAAAAAACAAAAAGCAAACAACTCCAAATTATTTGTTTTGTCAGACTAATTCAGCAACAGGAAACTTATCACAATACTGAGCTGAAATACCTCAGGTCTTTATATAACCAGGCTTACCCTATTCCAGTGTTTCCCAAACTTGACAATTTTAAGGCATGTGGACTTCAACTCCCAGAATTCCACAGCCAGCGTTGCTGGCTGTGGAATTCTGGGAGTTGAAGTCCTCATGCCTTAAAATTGTCAAGTTTGGGAAACACTGCCCTATTCCATACAAATTCACATTCCTTTTCTTCACAAAGCTCGGTTGATGGAAAAGCTGTCACGGAGGTATACCAAGGCTGAACAGGAGCTAACAACCAATCCAACATCATGCTTTTAGCAGCCTATTTAGTCATTTATTAGGTTTATATCCATCTACTTTTCCATCTCCAATTTTCCTCACAACCAACATCGCGTAAAGAGAATGGGCTGAAAGTGACTGATTTAGCAAAAACCTTCCAGGGAGCTTCCATGGATTCCAATATGGCTTAATAGCTAATCAATAATGTATTACAGCGAGCTTCTTCCACGGCTGAGGGTGTATTGGACCTTGGAATTCCCTGATCCTAAACTAAAATCTTATCCACCACATCACGATGGCTTTCCCGTACGTCTAAATTTAAGTTCCTGTTACCGACAACCGGCTCTTCTTTTTGCACTTTTTTCACCTTCCAATTAATTTGAACTCTCCTCAGGTTTTTTTTGCCCTGTCATACCCAACCCCAAACTACACTCTTTATGCGCTCTTACTAATTTCATTATTCAAGCACTACTGCAGTAGTATCTTTGGGATAAGAGGAACCACTTCTTGATGACAAAACAATTTAAAAGTCCCCGCATCCTTTTTTGAATGGAGGCTGTTTTCCTTTGCAGCCACGTATCTAAACTTCCACAACAGACCAAACCCTTCATATAACTCCATATACATCCAGAAACATTTTTGGGCTTGTTTTACGTGTAAAGCATTCTGTCCTTATATGATCTCTAAGAAAGATGATAAAATCCATGCAATCAGCCTTGATTTCCATGGTTGGATCATTCAGAACACTTTGCCAGCTGTGCAGCAAGCTATTTACAGGCTCCCGCGCTGCCAATGCAGGAATTCCAACTTCTCCATGTTCCAATGAGACTCATTCGCTCCCCATTGGCTGAAATATATAATGAAACCTGATTGTTCCATTGGCCATTACACCGCTCTCGGGTTCGTCTGTCTACTGAAAAAATGGTTCTCATCCTCTACAATTCGAACTCTTGCTCAACAGAGTCCCCTAGATATCTATGAATGGAAGGAGGAATGTTAACTGCGAAGACGTCTTCTGTTGAATAGCTCCCCAGCCAAGTCTCATTAGTTCCTGTTTCACTAAGTGCTGCAAGTACTTTGAGCCGTTCCTCTCTTGAGATGCTGCCTTTCAATCTACAATCTCCTCTAAACAATTGTTCACAAAGACACCCAGCTTCCTTTCATTCTTGGATCACAAAATCGCCTCATGGAAAGCTGCCCTTCCCAACTATCCATCACACACTAGAATATAATTTAATCTGGGTTGGAACAAAAAACCCACAAATATTTGTTGAGGGGTTGTTTTTTTTTTGGAATGCCACCAGACAACTGCAGTGGGTCTCTAGGAAACCACTCCAAATTCACACAAATCTTTTGGATCACGAGAAAACCTTCCACTTTTCCTTTTGCTCTCACTCATTCAACATTGCAAATTTGCCCAGAACTAGTGCTTTGTCCACTACCTTTGTGCAACACACAGTTATCTGTACACTGCCTAGGGCCTCGTTTGACGTCCTTGGAAAACTGATCCCTGACTTGGGGAGTCCGCCACCCTCTTCCTCTGCAAAGACAGATGTAAAGTTACTATTTTTAAGACTCAGCTTTTTGCTTCGCTCACAGATGTAGCAAGGTAGCTGCTCTGCTGCAGAGTGGCTGCTCTGTAACCAGGTGCCCACTGGTTAACCAATTATCTCCCTAGAAAGCGTTAGGAGAAAAGCATTAAGCACAAAACTCTCGACTTTTCAGGTAGTACACTTTCTGCATGAGTACCCAATTTCTTGGGCTTGATGGAGAAGAGGGCCCTTTTTACTCAGGTGTGCACGTTAAATCTGATCATCTCACCCAAGGCAACCACCCAGCAAAAGGAAAAAAAATGCCACCCGTGCGTCTTGCACAATTTGCTGCGTGTCTTTATGGCAACAGCTTAACAGATGGACTCAGAAATACGTAGCTGCCCGGGATCATGTAAGGCAGAATTTAAGTAATTGACTTTGAACACTCCTTAAGCTCTCGCTTATTACAAAACCTGCATCAGTTAGAAGCAGAGCGTGCAAAATTCAGATTCCTTATCTACATTATTATTGACCTACAATTGTGGTAAGATCTTTTTTTTTCCTTTTTAAGTACATGGTGGCCATACCTGGGTAGCTATAGGACTCTGCTACAAAAGGTTGTTTTAAAACAGTGTTTCTCAACCTTGACAATTTTAAGGCATGTGGACTTCAACTCCCAGAATTCCACAGCCAGCGTTGCTGGCTGTGGGATTCTGGGAGTTGAAGTCCACATGCCTTAAAATTGTCAAAGTTGAGAAACACTGTTTTAAAATAATAAAAAAAAAATATCACTGTTCAGGACTAAACTCCAGTCGTTTCCCTTCCCATTAATGTATCAAGAGCGTGCAGACATCTCAACCAACCTGTATTTTCTGTGCAAATGCCAGAAACACTACTACTCTCATTGCTTTGGTATAGACACTGGGCTTTGTTCTCCTGGGAAGCAGGTGAGGTCTGAGTCATTCCTTCTTCCAGAGCCTGCTTCATCCAACGCTGTAAAAAATAAAACCTATTGAATGCATTATCCTCTCTGTGTTCTTCAGAAAGTTTCAACAGATTACTTTAATTCCACTGGTAGCATCGACTTCTATCTTATCTCAAGGATCAGTTAAACTTTTAAGCAACATCTCATTTTGTACAGTCTCTCCCTCCCTCCTTCCCTTCCTCCCTCCTTCTCCACATTTATGTACTTAGAATTCGCATTTGAACTGGCAATTCTGGATAAGAAATTAAAAATAATTAGAAAGCAGCAATAGCTTTAATGTAGGGGAATCCAACTACAGGGAATGGAATATGGAAAACTAATCAGTGCAGACTAGATCTAGTGCTCCACAAATACTAAGCAAGTGACTTTTCATATTTATTAATGCTTTTCTAAAGTCTTAAGAACCAGGCACATTTTTTATAAAAGAAGAGATCTGTAATCAATGTCATTATCAGAGTTTGTGCTAATGTGTTGCCAATATTGCCAAGTTAAAAAATTTCTCCTACACTGACACTCTCAAGGCTGTAAAACCAGAACCAAAACTTTATTTTAATGAAGCATGTAAAAGACTGTTTATTAACATTTTAAACCAGTCTTTCTGGACTTAGGGATCCATAAATACATTGGAATTTAAAGGGTCAAAATTCCCACAAGTCTTTGGAGTGCAGATTGGAAAAGGCTACTCTGAACTAAAACAATAAATGCAAAGAAAATTACTGGTTTATGCTCTAAATCAATGAGCTATCTGGTGACCATTTTCGTATTGTAATGTGAATTTAATTCAGTAGATTCAACTCATCCTTCTGTGTCAGATTTTATACAAGCCAAGGGAGCTTCTTACCATCCAATTATGGAAACTAGAATGCAGCATGAAACACACTAAATCCCCAACTGAGGCACGAAAGATGAGCAGGGTGAAAGTATGTAAATCATGTTGGTTCGTGTGACCACATAAACGTATATTCTTAAGTTTGATATGAGAGAGTTTGTCTTCTTTTTTTAAGCAAGTAAGTGCTTAACATTTATATTCAGAAAGTGTGAAAAACCATGGGGGAGGGAATATGCAACTACTCTGCACATATTTTCCACTTTATGCACTTTCCTAGCATTAGCCTTTTAAACACTGAGAAATCAATACAGATTTCTGACACAAACCAATGTACAGAAGCCATGACTATTTTTGATTGTACTTTTCCCCTACAGTGTTGTTGTTTTTTTGTTGTTTTTTTAAAAAAACCCTCTTAATTTACTCTTCTGCTTGATCCTTGCTAAAATACAATTAACAAAAAAGTGGTCAAATAATAATTAGGTTTAAAAACTGGTCTTGAATTTCGTGATATCTACAGTCAAGATTTAAAGTTTAAAAACTTCTGATTAATTTTATAACAAGGAAACTGAAGGCTTTAAAATAGCATATAGAGCATTCTAAAACCTATAAATAACACTCTACAGTTCCTGGACACCAAGGCTTCCAAGCACATGGTTTCTCTATTATTGTATGTTCCGCATAAAATACAAAAACTGCTTTAGGGGGTATACGAAGTGATACTGTCTCTTAATGCAAGACATTAGACATACACCTAGAACAGGGGTAGGCAACCTTGGCTCTTTTATGACTCCTGGACTTCAACTCCCAGAATTCCTGAGCCAGCATGGCTCAGCTTGGAAACTTCTCCCTTTCCCCTCAGCATGGCTGGCTCAGGAATTCTGGGAGTTGAAGTCCACGAGTCATAAAAGAGCCAAGGTTGCCTACCCCTGACCTAGAACAATGTTTCAACCATGGCCGCTTTAAAACATGTCAATTTCAACTCCCAGAATTCCCCAGTCAGCATGGGAAATGCTGCCTGGGGCATGTTAGGAGTTGAAGCCCTAACACATTTTAAAGCCACCAAGGTTGAAAAACGTTGGCCTAGAAAGTAATCCAAAACATAACCTGAAGTCTGATCTTGATCTAAAATTCAGATCTCTCTTCTGTGAGACATCATCCCTGCTACATTTACAGAGTGTTTTAATATCCAATGAGGGATCTTATAAAGCAGCAGTCTCCAACCTCTCCGGCTCGGTGGACCAGTTGATGGTGTCAGGGAGAGAGGGGAGAAGGGATTCGTGTTCGCAAAGGCAGCTTCTGCAGCTCTGGTTCTGAACAGGCTGCGGCCTAGCGTCAGGCCATGGGGGGGGGGGTGTTGGGGACTCTTGTTATAAACCTTTCCTCCTCCTTTGTCCTGTGTGTGACCTGTGCCAAGAGCTTAAATGTATAGACACCCGTGGAAAATATACCTTTTTACACGAGCTGTAATTCCCATCCAGCTGAAATGGCTGCCTTCGCCTTTCTGGGTTGAAGGGAGAGCCAAAACGGATATAATGTTTCGGGGTGGTACAAATGAGTGGGGAATGAACAAGGCCTGGCAACATGTTCAGGGTGGTAGCCAAGACAGTTGGGTCAGTGGTGATACGTAAAGGGCACTCAATGGGGCACTCCTGCTTCTCTGCTTTGTCGTTCAGCCACTCTGTAACCAGATACTAGAAACAGAAAGAGACATATTTACTGTACAGGGTTAGTAAGAATGTGCAAACATTAGTGAGACAATGAAGACGGGTAGAAATATCACGGTGTCAAGGCATCTCTTTTTAAATTTTGTTTATTCATTAAATTTATATACTGCCCATCTCACTCTGAAAATGACTCTGAGAGGCTTACAGTTATAATTAAGAATAGATAAAAATAATGTTGGAAGCTGCAGACATTTGTTTTAGAACTTTGTCTGAATTTGTTTTATCACTACTTACCCTACAGCCCCATCACAAGTTGATCTTATACTAAAAATCCTGAGCTACAGTGAACTCTCAAAACGACAGCGATGTTTTACTTCCTTCAGTCAAACCCCCATTTTAAAACAAAACCAACTCAGTATCTTAAAAAAAATAATATTATGATGTAATTAAATGCCGGGTTGATTAATGAATTTCAATGTAATTTAATTTTGTATTCAAATGTAGCGTTTATTAATGTGGCTGATTAGTTATGGTAAAAGAACTTCTAATGAATTTAATTCAAAGAATAACATTTATGCAAAAAAAGATCACACATTCAAATAAATATGCCAGTTCCTAGGTCTTCCAGAAGCCTTCCAGATTTCACACAACAAAGGTAACCTGATACATTTTTCCTCAAGTTATATTGAATTTTATGTGTGATACAGTATTTTTAATAGCACCATGTTAATGATGGACTCTATAATCCTGGAGGCTATATATTTAAAATGTTATTTTAGACATCACATACAGCATATTTAAAAAGATAGTGCATTAACTAAAATATAGACAAAAAGTGATGACTTCAAAACCGATTATGAAAATTCCATTTTTGATTTTTGGATTAGAAAACAGGTCATTTTTCCTTGGCTTCAATAAATCAAGTATAAGATTTCAATCATTCTGAGTTGGTATCACTTAAGACTATTCATAGTCTTGGGTCAGCTTTTACAATTCATGCTTTATTTCATCCAACATTCCCTTTCGTAGTTCTGTGAGAAATTTCTGGTTTCTCTGCTGTCGTGCCAAAAAATAATCTTGGGGGGGGGGGATATACTAATGGCATCATTTTTACATTTTATAAAATTCAACTTTAATAACCTTATTTTTTTGCGTGTAGATTTGTTGCAAATTCTGTGGATCATCAATACTCTCAGATACAACCCAGGCATTAATTCAGACATTGGGGTTTAGCTGAATGCTGCTAGCCTTTTGTTTTTTATTTTAGACTGCTGACTAGTTATGAAAATCAGTGAAGGAAAACTGCATCAGATCAAGAAATATCCAAATTTACATTTTGACGACTGTGCTTCCCCCCCCCCGTTAAGAGTTAATAAACGTTAGCCATAAAAGCAAGCAAGCAAACAAACTAAAGCAATATGCCACATTATAGGAGCTACACGAAGCAAAATTATCTCCTTGTCATTGCAAGAAAGGATGAGTTACCCATCCTTTCCCACTCCATTTACCTTTTTTGTTTTAGGATATTTGGGTGCTGCCCGGTTGGCCTGTGATCCTGACGCAGCCGTCACAACTGGATCAGAGTTCACCACCGGTGGCCTCCCTTCTCCTGGGCCCTCTGCCCCGCTCACTTCCGCTGCTGCTGCTGTGCTGGTACCACTTCCTTCCTCTGGAGCAGTTTGAGAGAGTTCAGACTGCTGGGCACTGGCAGCTTGTTTTTGTCTTCTTAGTCGCTGTGCTGAGCTGCTCCGATAACGCGAGAAACGGCTTTTGGGCCTGGGCCGTGGTGTTTTTGGTGGTGCCGGTTTAGGGACTGGTTTATCTGCACTTGTCTCCTGCAATGTAAACCATTATTGAAGGAATTCTTAGTTTACTCTGTACTTGTTTACACTCTGCAAGAACTGGATATATAGGCTTACAGTATGAAGGCAGTGTCTTGAATTGAGGATCTAACTTGGAAAATACGTTCTACTTCTCCCTTTTGAGGGACTAAAATATGGAAAGATGAATGTATTATTTTTCCCAGGAAAGTATGCACAAGTATGCATAACAGCTTGACTCCCTCTTCTTGCCACAAAGAAGAAGGAGTCAGTCAAGCTATTCTCCAAAGCACCTGAAGGCAGGACAAGAAGCAACGGATGGAAACTAACCAAAGAGAGAAGCAATCTAGAACTAAGGAGAAACTTCCTGACTGTTAGAACAATTAACCAGTAGAACAACCTACCTCCAGAAGTGGTGAATGCTCCAACATTGAAACTTTTTAAGAAGAGATTGGACAGCCATTTGTCTGAAATGGGTATAGGGTTTCCTGCCTGAGCAGGGGGTTGGACTACATGACTTCTAAGATCCCTTCCAACTCTATTATTATTGTTGTTATTGTTGTTATACTTTTATTGACACTTTCTCAACAAAAGTGCGCTATTTCTAATATTTGTAGATAGCAATTCCATTTCACAAGCTGAGATAACCTTTTTTTTTAACAGATCAACCTGGACAGATGAAACGACTTCTCCAAACCTAGCATTCATTTGGCAACAATGAACCGTCTGTGCCACCTCTGTTGCCAGCTAAGGACTCGTAGCAAACTGCCTTGCTAGTTCAAACAGGTTTACTTGAACAAGAAACTTCCCAAGCAATATCTGATGGGAAGACAGGAGACAGACCAGCAACTGAATTATATTTTCCGAACAAGTGGCTGGGTTTTTACTCTGTCAATGAAGTCAACCCTCCAAATTCAGCAGTTTCCCAATCTGATCTTCAACCATTCTATTGTTCTTCTTACCCCAGCCTGTGAAGATCTCCGGGTGTTTACCCCAACGCTGCTGACACAGGTCGGAGCACTTGCCATGGATACATTTAAAGCCAAACTGTTATCTTCATTTTCATTTGGCACAGGTTTTGCTTCTTCTGGTTCTGGGGTCTCTGCAGTAACCACTACCTCTGCATCTGTGCTGCTCCTGTCTGACGATGGCAGATCTCTCCTCCTCTTTCTCTTTTCCAGATTCTCAAATACATGCATGATAGCTTCCACCTTTCTATCTTCTCGGGTCTAGCATATGAAACAAGAAATCCAGGTTAACACTACAGGCACCGGAGAGGAAGACAGTGAAGATGGGGCATCACTCAAACCACAGATAATGGAAGGCACTGCAGAAATAACAACCTAATACCCAGACTTCCTGTATGATTGATCAACTTGACAGAACAGTGATGATTACGAAGAAGATATGCACTTCTGTGCATTTTAGTAGTGTGCACTATTTCAAAGTAAGAGACAGTCAGCTTAGCTTACAGTTGCTCTGAGGGCAGGGAATACAGAACTGATATTGCTGATTTGAAGCAATACATAAAAAACAGAGACACACTTTGGTTTAGTGGTTACGGGTTAGGGCTAGACCTAGGCCTCCCTTATACATGCAAGCCAGCTGGGTGGCCTTAGGTCAGTCATTCTCTCTCAGTCCAACCCACCGTACAATGTTGTTGTTGTTGTAAGGAAAATAGGAGGCAGGAGCAGTAGGTATATTTGCTTTAGGTTGACTGAATTATATAAAAGGCAAGAGTTATGATTGGTCACACAGTCAGCCCGATGTTTAGACTGGATTGGGCATTTTTATCCACCTACCCAGTCCTTCCCAAGGACCTGGGATAGGCAGTTGTTGTTTGATGGTGTTAAAAGTATTGTTGCAGGATGTAAGCTATTTCAAGTGAAGCTGTCTTTTGCCACTGACTGTTGATTTTGTAATACCGATAGTATTCTAGATGTTTTGGGATTACACCTAGAGCTCTTATTGCTATTGGTACTTCTTTCTTTCTTTCTTTCTTTCTTTCTTTCTTTCTTTCTTTCTTTCTTTCTTTCTTTCTTTCTTTCTTTTTCTTTCTTTCTTTCTTTCTTCCTTCCTTCCTTCCTTCCTTCCTTCCTTCCTTCCTTCCTTCTTTCTTCCTTTCTCTCTCTTTCCCACAGTAGTTCTATATCTCTTTGTAGATATCTGTATTTTGTGATTTCCCTCCCCCCCCATTCTTTCTCTTCTACTGTCTTCCAGGTATTGTAATGGTACTATCCAGACTTTGTTTTTGTCTTTCTTGTTTGTTTAAATTCTACTAATGCACATCCTGATTAACAGCCAAGCCTGCAGGAAAATACTGGAAACTTTTAAAAACTACCTGGATCCAAAGTCTTCCGGAGCTATTTTCCTACATGTTATCCTAGATGTTGCGCAAGAGGCATATAATTGATATGAGGAGCTACCTGTTCCTGACTACATAGCTTCATTGTGAATATTCATATTCCCCATACTTCAACCTCTTTATATCATTTTGAGTAGACTGGGAACACTACCTCAGAACTTGTGCAACGTATATGCAATTTTCTGTGATGGATCTGTTACGCTGTTATTTATAATACTAGTAACCACCAAGATGAACAGGCACAGGAGAGGAAAAAAAAGAATATAAGGAGAAATTAACTCAGCAACAACTTATCAGAAAATTCTAGGAAATGCCTATGCCCAATGGAAAAGACAACAGCCATCACAAAACACTAGAACAGTGGTTCTCAACCTGTGGGTCGAGACCCCATTTGGGGTAGAACGACCATTTCACGGGGGTCGCCAAACAACGCAGTCCGCCATTTTTTTCCCCTTTTCCTTAGCTGTGCTACTCCCTTTTATTCTATTGGCTTTTGAAAGCCAATAGAATAGACTCTCTTGAATAGAGTCTAATTCTATTGGCTTTCAAAAGCCAATAGGAATTGTCCAGGCTGTCTCTGCCCTGCTGAGCCCACCAAAAGTCCCATTCTGCAAACGGTGCTGCACCAGTTGAATAGTCCTCGACTTACGACCGGTTGAGTAGTCCTCGACTTACGACTGGTTGGGGGTCACGGCATTAAAAAGGTTGAGAACCACTGCACTAGAATAAGTTTATATTTAACAAATACTTGCCCGTCTGCCATGACTGAGACCACCCAGCTCATCGGCAGCAGTTTCCTCCTTCTCCTCTTCTGGCTTCTCTTCCTTATCTGCAGCCTAAAGAGAAAGAGAATAAAACCTTAAAAAAAAAAAAAAAAAGCTAGTCACAATTGCCAGTAGATTTGAGGACCATTACTGAGACCTTTCAGCTTTTCACTGGAGGTTTGTTTGTCCAAAAAATGAAGATTCATTCTGTGATTAAGTTTACCTAGAATTAATGGAGTAGAGAATTGGTCTCTTGACAGAAGGCCACCTGAAAAGACTAGAAAGCATTTGAAATGTGGATTTACAGGCAGCTGTTACACATAAGCTGGGTTGACAAGATCAGAAATGAGGAGGTGATCAGCCGCCTGAGAAAGCCAAGGGAAATCATCAAAACAATTAAAAAACGAAAATTAGAATATTTCAGACATGTGATGCGACACCCAGAAAAATACGACATACTCCATTTAATCCTCCAGGGAAAGACTGAAGGCAAACAAGGTCCAGGCAGAAGAAGAACATCGTGGCTTCAAAATCTAAGGGACTGGTTTGGACAAACTCAGCAGCACTTTTTTGTGTGGCTGCTGATAAAAACAGGATTGCCAACATGATCGCCAACGTCCGATAACGGATATGGCACAAGAAGAAGAACAATTAATGATCCAATCTCACTTATCCAGGATGATGGGAACGTTACCTCATTATCACTCACTGCAGCGGGACCCTCAGAGACTTCCTCGGTTTGGGGATTGCTGTTCTCATCTGAGGCTGCACCCTGCTGCTCCAGTTCCTTACGACGGGCTTTCCGGCGCCTAGTTTCTGCTCCGATCAGAGTGTCCAGAATAGGTGGAGGTAGTTGTTCTACAGGGTTCAGGCTCCGCTTTTGCACAGGACAATTCCGGTTTCCTTTGTGGCAGGCACAATCCACTTTATAATTGCTGCTCCACCACAAAAGATATATAAGCATTTTAGGATCATTCTTCAAAACCTCAAGAAATTATTATTTATTTTATTTGTTAAATTCACATGCCTCCCATCTCACTATCACGCAACTCTGGATGGCTTGTAATAAGATAAAAGCGACAATATAAAACATTCAAACAATAAATATTAAGATTTAAAATTATTTGGGCCAAATGTTTAGGAAAGAATGGATCCTATCACATGAGATGCTTCAGATTTTTATTTTTAAAGTAAAAAAGGAATAATTTGGGCGGAAGGGTAGTAATAATAAGCAAGTAACACCAAGGCAACTTACCAGATATTGTACTCATAATCAAAGGCAATGGTGACCTCTGCATCTTTGGCAATGGAAGCAATTGCATATATGCACAGGTGAATCATCCCATCTGCAATCACGTGACGAACCTGCAATATACAGCAGAATTTCTAATACTTTACAGCCAGGCATATGTCTTACTGCAAAGGTGAACCTTTCTCACAATTGTAAAAACCAGCTTCTGCAGTGGCTGGTTGCTCCTGAACAGCAAGATTATCCACAACAAATGCACCTGAAACTGAAAAAGGTGTGCTTTGCTACCCAATATGGAATTTATTAATGAGAAATGCACAAGCACAAAAATAAAATTTCACCAATTAATGACACCATAAGGTACTAGTCCCCCCCCCTTTTTTTTTTTTTTACTGTTGCAGCAATCCCATGAAACAAGTTTTTTTCCATAGCTCTGGCATTATAAAATTCACAGGGCATCGTCTGAGCCCTCTGCACTTAATTGGCATGGGATTATCTCTGCTTGATTTGTAGAGCATAAACTCAATCACGTTTGCCAAATACCATACGCCACATAGCTACACCATTTACCTCTGCATTTGGTGTACAGGAACGCCTGATGAATCTGGCATCATTTCCAAAAGTGCGGGCATCCACACACATCTCAACACTGTTAAATTTGGAGTAAAACAGCACAAAGGGATACGGCCTGAGGAGGGGGGGAAACATGAACAGCATTTTAACCTCCTGGCAAACATCACCTATCTGGTGCAACCTTAACAGATGACCCGATGCATCCCTGCATGCATTTGTGCATTGCGCGTCTGATCTTTTATTTAAGCATAAATTCCCAATAGAAAAGAACTGGCTCACATTATTTCCAAACTATTCAAAACCTCAAGAGGGAGTGCATTGTGTTTGTTTTTCAAGAAACAGCAATTACACAAAAACTGTTCCCCCCTCCCAATTCCATTAACAGGCCTCTGTTCTGCAATTATTTGGGGCTCTTACTTTTTGAAGAAATGACCATTGACCTCGAACTGCTGCCTTAGCATCACCTTCCCACGATATTCAATTATAAGGGTATCCGCAGCCAAATCTCTCGCGGCCCTCAAAAGCTTTCGGTGCTTCTGAACTCTTGTTACTCTCCCCAGCTGAAGCTGTAAGGTGGAAAATAAGAATTGTGGACCCAAATCCATTAAAAAAAACAACAACAACACCATTTTCTACTATATTTGAAAACAATCTTATTGAATGTGGATAAGTAGGATAGGGATAAAATTATTGTTGCTTTGTGCCTCCCCCAACTCTTTCAGGCAAGGAAAGTGTAGATCTAACAGCAGAAGAGCATCTCTGAAATTGCCCCGTTTAAGAATATCACTAATTTGTCTCTCACTACTTTTGAATATACTTCTTACCTGCATTTGGGATCCGATGACCGTGTTGTTACAGGCCAGTTCAGTCTTATTGATTGTGTCCAGCACAGCCGCCTTGCCCGCAAATTCTTTATTAGCATTTAGATGACGCTCTAGGAGATTTTGCACATCGGCGCTGTATTGGTTTGTGAAGGCTTCTTCGTACTGATCGGTCCAGAGTCTAATGCGGTTTTCCCACCCCTCTGTGGTATTCTCATCCAGGGCGTGGGCTTCTGAAGGAGAATTCTGTATCAAACCACAGAGTCAGTTCAATGGCTGAATGGTTTGGGGCTCTATAAAAGAAACTTAGGACTTTTTGAAACGGCCCTTGGCTTAAAAAACAACACCCACCTATAGAAACAACCTCCCCATTCTTAATTAGCCTCGATCAAGCACAATTTAAAGGCTCTCCTGATCAACTGGTAATAGGTGAAAAACTGCTAGGTAATCAAGACACAGAAAAAAATGCTTGCAAACTCATTCCCAAATATGATGAAATATCATTATCAGCCATCTTTATAGGTGCCTCACCCTCATGATCAACAAGCAGGACACTGTAGCTCTTGACAATGACTTACTATATTAATGCTACTTAATTTCATGTTACAGGGGATCTTTTAAAGTGATGATGCAATACATAAATCAATGACCCACGTATGTACTGTGTTTGGAGGTTGGTTGCAAAGGTGTCTGTCAGGGTTAAACATGTAGTTCTACTCACCTTCATCCGCAAAGATTTCCGTGAACCTTCTCTAAAAGCCTGTCAAGCGCAACAAGAGAAACCACTATCAGTATTTATATCCTAGACATCTGAGCTTTTGTTCAATAAACATTTTCTAATCATCTAAAGGGGAGGGGCCGAGAAACTAAAATGCATAAAAGCCATCGACCTCAGCTTATTTTCACATGCTCCTCCCACAAAAAGTCATCTCTTCCAGGACTTCATCAATTTAGAAATATTGATGGCTCTCTTTTCATTTATGCTGATCTTCAAATATCTATCCTATTAAAAATCAATTGGACAACAACTGTATGCCTAAAGAACGGTGTATTTCACTATATTATTCCTATGCAGCTTCCTTCAAGTCCTACTATGCTACTTCATTGTGGCAGTGGGACACTCTGAGGAGGAATAAGTGAAGAAGAACATTAGAAGCGGACAGCAACAGTATATATTCCCAGCAAGGCCAACCAATGTGTGACGATCATTCCAGCTGCTCAGCTAAAGGAAGCAGGTACAGGTACTCCTCGACTTTTGATCACAATTAAGCCCAAAATTTCTGTTCTTAAGTGACACAATTGTTAAGTGAGTTTTGCCCCATTTTTCAACCTTTCTTGTCACGGTTGTTAAGTGAATCACTGCAGTTGTTAAGTTAGTAACTGGCTTCCCCATTGACTTTGCTTGTAAGAAGATTGCAAAAGGTGGTCACATGACCCAGGGACACTGCAACTGTCATAAACGAGTCAGTTGCCAAGCATCCAAATTTTCATCCCATGACCATGGGATGCTGCAACGGTCGTAAGTGTAAAAAACAGTCCTAAGTCACTTTTTTCAACTTTGAATAGTCACTAAATGAACGCAAAGAGCTACAGAAAGATGCTGGGCTCAGATGGTTATTTTAGTGACAATGGCAAATACATAAATTTGTAACTGTTCAAAAGAAGGCAATGGTATACCACTCCTACATTTTACGAGAAAATCACAGGAAGAGACAAGATAAAGTGATTGACCATATTGGGCTGGATGACCAGCCCTCAAGTTGTTGGCATTCAACATGTGACTGAGAAAGGGCCGAAAACCTTTTGGAAGGCTAACAGTTTTTATGTCATGGAAACATTAAAGTTTTTGAGGTATCTTGCTACAATGTTTCAAAGCAAAAAAAGACGACCTGAAGACACAAAGACAGAATTATAATGGGAAAAACGAAGCGTAAGAAACATGAACGTGAGAAAGCTCAACCCAATGAAAGATTAAATGAATCAATTAGTGACAGTGACATCTCAGGAACCAGTGAACTGAAATGGATGGGAATTAAGACATTTTTCAGTCAGAAGATCACACTGCTTACTACCCAGGACATGGAAAACAAGAACGTATCGCAGAAAGGATACAGCAATGGCAGTACTTGGGTATATCAGAATTAATGACCGTATAGTATAAATCAAAATTTGCAGACAACCCTGCAATATAATGAATGTCCAAGTTTATGCTCCAACCACTGTTGAAGAAAAAGAGGCGAGTTCAATGGTAAAAATTGTGCAAGCAAGATATGCTGCTTACGGTTGGAGACTCAAATGCCAAAATTGAAAGTAGTAAAGAGGAAAAGGCTGTTAGGAAACAGCAGGAAAAGAGTTACGAAAATGCTGGCTTAGGAAACAGAAATTAAGCAGGAGAATGACTATCCAATGACTTGTTTCTGCCAAGGATTTCTTCATTGCTAACAGTTTTAAAACGATCAAACCCACACCTATGTACACTGGAATGCCCAGATGAATACACAAAAAAATCATGTTGATCGTGTCACTGGTACAAAGAGGTGGAAGAACTCTCACTTCTAATAGCAAAGAGGTGGCCAGGAGCAGACTGTGGGGCAGGCCGTGACATTCCAAGCCCAGCTAGGGAAAAAGAACAAAGCCAACCAGTTTCCACAATAGGATTTTGAGCGTATACCCACCATTTTCAAGAAGAAACATCAGGAATCACTCTGAAGTGCTGAACCTCATTGATAGGGAACCAGAGGAACTGTGGAATGAAATCAGAGAAGCTGTTAAGGATGAATGTGAAAAGAGGCTGCCAAAGACCAAGAAACAGAAGAAAGCAAACTGGGTGGTGGAAACTGCCAAGAGGAGCCAAAGCGAAGAAAGACAAAGACCTCAGGAAGAAATTTAATAAAGAATTTCAAGAGAGCTGTTAGAAGAGATAAAAAGCAGTATTATAATGGCGTCTGGAAATGTACTGAACAAGGCAACAGGTATGGAAAAAACAAGAAATGCTTTCTAAAAGATCTCCAAACTCAGAGAGATGTTCTAATGTCAAATTGGTACGTTAAAGGATACCAATAGGAACCAATTCTAAGAAAATAAAACAATGATGGATGGACTATATTGAAATTGTGTAGAGTTCTTGTCAATGATTTATAAAATATTCCCTATTTACAAGAAGATCTAATACTAGTAGATGGAAGTCAGAGAAGTACTCCAGTCATAACCAGTCAGAAGGCCATTAAAAATTGATGGAATGTCTACCAAAAATTGGCAAGCAACAGAAGAACTGGTAAAGATTTTAACCAAATGATGGCAACACATCTAGAGAATCACAAAATGGCTTGGAAATTGGATAAGGTTAGTCAACCAATACCAAAGAAAGGAAACTTAATTTAGTGTCCCAAATATCGTATACTTAATTTCACATGCTAGCAAAATAGCACTTAGAATTAGCCAATGTAAATTAGAATCTTACATGAAAAAAGAGAACCTAGATATTCAAACTGGCTGTGACTATTATAGATAGGTCTTCAAGACTATGTCAAGCTGTGGGGCATGCAACAGGCATTTTGATTTCATTGTCCTCATGAAAAATCCATACATAAGACAGAGCTCATAACACGGCAAAACAGGTCAGAGCTCATAACACGGCAAAACAGACTGGCTCCAAGTTAGTGAAGGAGTGAAAGCATAGTGTAAACTATGATTTTGCGCAACTTATATGCTGAACATACATTGAAAGTAGCTGAAATTGGAAGATCAGCATGGTTTTAAAACTGGAAAAAAATATAACACCAATGCACCAATGCTGACGACACTGTGACAGCTGAAAAGACAAATGAACTGCAAGCTCTAGTAATGAAAGTCAAGGAGCATAGTAAAAAAAATGAAACTAAGAGTAACTATAAAGAAAACTACTGACAACAGGCACAGCAATAAGGAAGTGAAGCGATGAATAACTTTTTTTTTTTAAAGTATTCTCTATCAACAATAAAGGAAACAGCAGACAAGTAGGTGCTGCAGACTAGCACTTGGTAGATTTGCAATGGAGCTTTTGGAAAAGATATTCAGATGCCGTGATAGATCTATGCCTACAAAGATCAGGATTGTTCAAGCAATGATTTTTTCTGTGGAACTCTATGGAAGCGAAGGTTAGATAGAAATGACAGAAAAATATCAATGCTCTGGAACTCAAAGAGAAAAAACAATGTCCATGTGGATAAGCTTGAGGACAACAGTGACTGAGGCATTGTTGGAAGACCTGAAGGGCCAGGTTAGGGACAGATGATTCTGAAGGAGGTCCATCGATGTGGTTGCTAAGAATCCATCCCGACTTGACACACAAATTTGAATCAAATCAGATAATTCATTTGTAAAATGCAATGTCTGACCAAAACCTTTTATAGGAGCTACAGCTTCTCCCAAATTAAACAAAAGCTAGTGCCTATTAACTGCGGCTTGACGTACTAAAATCAAGCTAGAGTAGTTAACACAGAACTAGTAACAATTAATCTATTTAGTAGCAACAATTCTAATAGGTAGCAACATACAACAGACACCTCCAGAGCCACCTGCCTGTTGCAGTGACCTTCTCTTTTCTAAGCTGAAAAAAAAATGTAGTTCGAATGTATTATAAAGCAGCAGTTTTCAGTACATCCTAATGTCCAAGAATGCCTATGTTGAACCTAGAGATATTTTCAGAATAATAAAAATGCTGAGTTGATATAGCCCAGTGTTTTGTTTTAAACTGTGACCTCTTGGGGGGGGGGGGGGAATGAGAAAAAGCCAAGATAGACGGTGATAATAAATACTGTATAGGATTAGAAGGTAGGGAAGATCTTAGGGACTAAATAAATGCTAGGTTGGTCTGTATGTATGGATGCATCACAAAACCTTTCCCAACACTCTTCCAGTTCTCAAGGACACTTGTATGCAAGCTTTCTTTCTTTTTCTTTCTTTCTTTCTTTCTTTCTTTCTTTCTTTCTTTCTTTCTTTCTTTCTTTCTTTCTTTCTTTCTTTCTTTCTAGGTATATTAATTAGGGAGGTGTACAAAATTCTGTGCCTGAATCCTTCTCTGCACAGAATGGCTGTTTTCAGATGGTCTGTGACTGAACTGCAGTGATGGAGGGGAAGAGCCGGAAACAAACCAAGAGCCTCTCAAGCGGCTGAGGGGAAAAAGGGAAGGGCGACGTCTCTCTGTTCATTTAGCACAGGGGTAGGCAACCTTGGCTCTTTTATGACTCGTGGACTTCAACGCCCAAAATTCCTGAGCCGGCATGGCTCAGCTTGGAAACCTCTCCCTTTGCCCTCAGCATGGCTGGCTCAGGAATTCTGGGAGCTGAAGTCCACGAGTCTTAAAAGAGCCAAGGTTGCCTACCTCTGACTTAGCAGCAACCTAGCAGGGCACTCTTTTCTGACTGCTTTCCCATGTACCACCAACATCCTTGGTTTTTTCCTGTTCTCCAGCCAGAATATGGGTGTTTGGGTCTGGGCAGTCACCGGATGATGTAGTACATAATACACGGACAGAATCTGTTATTATTAACCAGTTTATAAGTTTAACTCTCCCAATGGCTCAGTGCTTTTAGGCACGAGTGCTCAAAATAAAAAAAAATGTTTTGTTCTAATGACAAAGCATGATCATCACCCTGAAATAATATAACAGATAAGGATACTAAAAAAAACGTTCTCTCTGGAAAAGTGTTTATTTCTCGCCACAAATTAGGCAGGTCTGCATGGACATGTTAAAACATTTGTCATGTAACTTACAGAGCTGGATTATTTGGAGCATATGTAAGCCGCTCAGCAGGCACCCAAAGATGCTTCTTACTTTGTATATTTTCAGACTTGAATAATTAAGCTCATAGAAATTAACTCCTCAATTTAAATGTTTCAATTATAACTGTTACTATTACAACTCATTTGTGTGAAGTCTCAACGGCATTTCTATAACTTGTGCTCTAAGAATTCATCAATAATTAGTTTATAACCATATTTAAAACCGTGAGGCTGAGAGCTCATGACTTTACATTCTTCTGAATGGAGAGGACGTATCAACACAACACAACACAACCAACATTGAAGGGTCTTTTTTTCCAATGTTCCAGTAAACTTTTCAATTCCCATCAAACATCATTTTTTTGCAAGCAATAAATGCAATATTAAAAGATCCCTGAGGTCATTAAGTATAACTCCCCAATTGGTGCAACAATCCAAATCAATGCATATCCCGAAGTTGGTTGTTCAGCCTCCATCCAACCTCTGCAAAACCCCTTTTTCTTTCAAACTGCTCTTGTGTGGCATCTCTATTCCTGCCCATAATTATTTCTGAGAGATGTTTGGAGACATTTAAATCATGTGTTAGCAGTTTAAGAGTGTGGTTTTGTGTTTTATAACACAGGCCTCATTTTATGTCATTACTTTTACTCCCAGAAGTTTGCCATTCTGGGAAATGAACATGTGATCCTGACAGTAATTATATGAATGGGAAATTCCAGCCATCCACTCACCCACATAGCCACAATTTCCTCAGCATGTCCACAAAGTTGTTTGAATTCCAAATTATTATTTATTAAATTTGTTGCTGTCTGTCTTGCCACAAGGTGACTTGTGGCCCAAAAGAATAAACTTTCAAAATTTGTATCTGCTACATCAGCCATAGTATTCGGCCTATGGAAATTCAGATCAAAAAGTCTGAAATTTGGAGCTAAAGAATTGAACCAGGACAGCAGAGGGTATAACTAGGGAACATATTGAAATTAAACAAATCAACCATATTTAACCATATTTCATCGTGATGCTGGTAACATGTTGAAAAAAATGTGCAAAGTGCCCAGCATTAATCTCAATGCCTTTGATTAATTGACTAAAATTGTGTTAGTCATTTGCCAGGTTATTAGTTTTTTTTTTTTTTTAAATACATTAAATGCTTCTTTCCTATGAAGAAATTTTCCTTCTGGGCAAGCTATGCCCCCTGGCCTCATTTACAGTCCTGCAAGAGGCTTAGACAGAATAGCACACACCCCTCCCCCAGCCAAAATGAAACACAGTGCAACTTCCTTGTGCATTTGATCTGTAATGTTTATTACTATGAGGAGAAAGTCTGCCCAACCTAAAAACGAAGATCTGTGGATTTTTTTCTTTCTCCTTAGTGGAAGGTTATGTGTCACTTGAGGAAGATGAATGGGGAAAAAAAATCTAAGCCAATCTCCCAGTCACTTGCTTAGCGAATGCCTTGAGATGCCAACAACCATTTCTGTTCACATACCTTGATTTTTTTAGCTTTTGGTGCTGTGCGAGCTCTCTCTGTGTTCCTTTTTCTCTTTTTAGGTTTCGTTCTACAGACTCGGTTGACTGTCAGAGTGATGCTCGTAGGAGTGTGCTGTGTAGCAGTATACAACACTGTGGAGGGAGATAGCTCCTCATCCCAGCTCTCTGTTGCACTGCTATCTCCACCTACGAAGGCAAATATCACACTGACAACTTTCATAATGCTGAGAAATCTTCATACTGCTCTTCAGCATGACTTTAAAGACGAGATGCCATGCCACCTGCTACCTTTCACGGTAACAACTTGCACTGTACTATTACAGGGAAGGAGGCACAGTAAGTACTTTCTATCAGGACAAAGGCTGATTCACAGATCTCAATGATCTGTTTGCAGTAAACGGACTGAACTTACCTGACACGTTGTCTTGTTTCCGGCGACGAAATCTGATTACTTTCCCCCTGCCAATTCCCCTACAAAAGAGACAGACATTTGATAATGGCAGTGTCAATGGCAGCACTGCCTAAAATGAAAGTGGACTACAGTGGCTTGAGTCTTCAGTGGAATGCCAGTTGACTTCATCTTGAAGAGTTACATAACAGCTTACATGCTTACATGCTAGGGGTAATCTGAAGGGGTAAGAAAGACTCCAAAGTGCCCCTCTGAAATCGAGACTCCAATTTGACTTCTACATGAGAATCTCTGGTGACGTTATAATCTCTACTTCATGGCAACTACAACTCTGGGATTAGAAAAATATTTCTTAACTCCTTAGTAAAACAGAATGTCTTTAACGCTACAGAAGTCCAAGAGAGATTGTTTTACCAATTGTATTTGTCTGGCTGAAACAAGGAAGTGTCTTTTGCAATTTTCACCTATTTAACTTGCACTGTTTGATCTCTTGTGTTGTGGAATTTGGTTTTTCCTTTGTTTTTAACTTGCTGCCAATGAGTTCCTTTGCTCCATACCACAACCATGAATCACAGTGCTGAGTCAATGGGAAATTAAGAGAACGGTCCACAGAATAATTGCGAAACCTCCTTCACATTCCTCACTGAGTTGGTTGCCCCACAGGTACCTAGAACTTACCTGCATTTTTCACACTTGATGAGGAAGCCATCTTGGGAGAGACTGCAGTGACACCAGCTAGGAATAGATTCTGCCTCAGAAGAGCTCTCAGTCTCACCAGAATTCTCCTCATCGTGAGGGTGCAGGCCATTCAGTTCTGCACGGGGGATGATGGTCTGGACAGGGGGAGAAGCAGGAGGGGTCGGAGGAGGAGGAGCTCCATAATTGTGATCCTAAAAACAAATGTTTGCATCAGTGCTGTTTCAAATTTCAGGGAAGGATAATAGTAAACAGAAAAGGAGCGGCTTACAGAATTTTATGAGCTTTACTAATGCATTGCAAAGCCTAAGGAAGCTCGCGGGGGTTTCGAAGGTGTTCAAAATATATGGTAACAAGGAGCATATACTTAATTTGGGATTCAATCTAAGACTAAGTGAGTACTTGTTTCCTCTATTCAAACCCAAGGAGTTTCCTGAAAAATTAACAGTGAACACATTTTCCAAGCACCTAAGCAAAAGGGGGGGGGGGAATGAAAAGTGGACTTTGGGAAACTTCAAGATTGGTTAAAAATACACACAAATACACACACACACACATACACACAAAGCTAGCACATTAGGAAAGGAAAAAGCCCACAAATCAACTGAATCAGGATGGTACACAAGTAGGAGTACATATTAAGATGCAAGAATTTGGCACATTTGTACATAAGAAGCCTTCAAGCAAAGTCATACGAATCTCCTGATTCTGAAAATATTATGGTTTATGACACACATAAACATAAATATTTTCCTTAAAAAAAAAATAGCTCCTAGAAATTCCCCTATAGCTTGCTCTCAGTAAAAACCACAAAAATGCCTCTTCGTCTAAGCCAGTGGTCCAGTTTTGCAGTAAGCTTTCCACAAATACATTTTTGAAAAGAAACAAAAAAATTCCAGAACTATACTGCCAATGCCCTCCAAAACAGATCTCTAGCTCAGTCACGTAGAAGCTGGGGGGGGGGGGAGAGAAATGGGCTCGATAAAGTACGAATCTACTGCAGATAACAGAGAAGGGTACTCACTGCATAAGGCAGCCCTCGGTAGCTGTGCCTCTGGGAGGCCCCGTAGCCGTGATTTGCATACACATTCTTCTCACTAACAGCTGGGCTAGCTTCGACAGACTCTGGGCTGCAAAAAGGGCCAACAGCAGAACCCATCAGCATAGAGGAAGTGGGCCTTTTCTCATAATTAGCCAGAACTCAAGAGCTCTCTCGTGAGGCCAAACAATAATCTAGCCGTGAATGGACACACCTTGGGAGAACAGGAGGGACGGAACCCATGAGAGCCATGGTGTGTGTGTGTGTATGGAAGGGCTTAGGACTAGCATACGGTTTCAAAGTTGGCATTCGGCAAGAGATAACAGGAGCGAAAATGGTACTCGTACCAATCTTTGAATTGTTTGGTTAGTGGCTTATATATTGCATCAGATGGTGGATCTTGAATTATTTATAACCTTTCTCAGCTACTTGACTTTTTTTGATTTTTTTGTAATCACAGCTCTGTGTCCAGCCAGGTTACAAATTTTATAGACCTCTGACTTAGCTGACTATTCCTTCCGGGCTGCAAAAGTATTCTTATTTGCGTCTCCTTAATGCACACGCCTCTAGATACAGTTTCTTAGTGACAGAAATTTGAGTGAAGTTGGCAAAGAATAGATCCTGAGTATTTCATTTAGTAAAATCTGCAATGTGTAGAGAGTATCCAGCTTTCTCACACAATCAATCATGTGAGGAGCAGCATGCATATAATCTCTACCACTGGAGAGAGAAAAAAAACAGCAGGTTTCTACCAGAAGAGGGCAGAAAAAAGCAACTTAAAATGTACAAAACTGGCGGTTAGTGAAAAGCTCTGGGAGTCCTTGTTACAGAAAAGAAAGCAGGAAAAGCTTTAGAGGAGGAAGCCAAAGCTGGAAGCTAGAAGGGGAAGCTGCTCTCTATGGAGGATGGGAGGGAGAGGAAGAGAGAGAGAGAAGACTAAGAAGAAGGAGAAGAGCCAATGCTGCAAGCACACATTGGGAATAAAGTCCAGAAAACGTCCTTTCTGCATTTTCAAAGTACATTTTCAAAGGTTATTCCTATGAAGAAGAGAGCTATAAATACCACAGTTGTAATCCGGCCCCTCTGCAAAATCTCAGCATCGTTTTTATCCGTAATAGTGGCTTTAGTAAATCGAGGCAGATGTGCTTTTAAAGCAACTGATAAATCAAATACAATGTTTTGAGGCTCTCTGACTTACTTGACAGAAGGAACCTACCCAATTACACAGTCCTTTATTTTATTGCTTTATCTATATTCATATTTCTAATGCCCAGACATTATGCTAGAAGAATTAGGTAACCTGTCCTGTTTTCCGAACTGTGTTTTTATTTGACTGAAAATAATTAGTGGATCATGGCAGAAAGATGAACTATATATTGCAGGGGGTCTTCAAACTTGGCCCTTTTATGACTTGTAGACTTCAACTCCCAGAATTCATCAGCCAGGCACTGTTGGCTGAGGAATTCTGGGAGTTGAA